TTAGTTGAGTTTGGCCTTATTGTTGTGATTTTGGAATGAGAGCGGCTTATAGTTTTATAGTTATGTGATGCATTAGTTGAGTTATGTTAATTTTGAAGGAATAGTGGTGTATGATTTTAGGTTTTTTACGTTAGGTCGTAACGTATAGCGAATGTGACGTATGATTTACTGTATATGTATGACGTTCAATCACAAGATTAGAAAATGTTTGTGACGTATTTTATGACATTAATGCTTATTCAGATATTTTACTATTGGGGGTTTTTTTCTTGAAGCGAACAACATTTGAAGGCGAGATTTTCTTTTGAAAAGGATTGAGGAACGCACGAGTGGCCAACCTAGAGAAGGCGCTGATGGCCGTTCAGCCAGGTAACGACTTTGTGACTCGGGCGCTGGGGCATAGAATAGCGTGTACATAGGGTAGAGTAGACAGAGTAGCATTGTATTATGAGTTTGTTGAGAGAATGATACCAAGTCAGATTTTACTCATTTTTTATCATACGTCCTCTCTCCCGTTTATCATTGTCCCTTCAAAATTTTTTTCTATGAATTTTTTTTCTCTATAAATATCATTTATTTTCTTACGCTTTATTGTCTTTTCGTACCTTTATGTTCAGAGAACATATAATTTGAAAAAGCAAACATGAATTTGTTACATGTAGCAATTCAACAGCGAGGAATCATATGAAATGGTCCAGTAAGAGAAAAAAATCAAACGAATTGACAGCCGATAAACGGCGTAACAGATAGAAATGTGCATGAGAAACAGAAAAAAAAGAAACATTCCCTGTAATGCGCTCAATTCCCGCGCGAGTCAATCAACCTACCATGTATGATAAGCCGTACCGCCGATTCCAACGGCAGCCAAACCCATAACAGTAGTTAACACAGCATCCATAACACGAGGTGAAAGCATAGCCTCGAACTTGCTCTGCTGTGTCTGTTGCCGTTGTTGACTTTTATGAGGTTTCGGTTTTGATCAAGGGGTTTTAAACCATTGAGGTTAGATCATTTTTAAAACCACACTTTGCATTTCATACGATATTAATATAGCAAGCAAAGTGTAGTGCTAAGTTTTCATATTTCCGAATATAGCATAGTTTTCGAACATTAATAAAAAATTTCCTTTTATGTAGCGGGCCATCACTAATTAGATTGGTCTATAATTATAACGGCATCACAAAGATTGTCATAATTTAACGATAAATAAGAATTAGCTTACCTCACCTCTGTGTCTTTCTACCTTTCACTTCTGTACCTACCAAATCATGTAAACACCGTTCGATAATAAATAAATAGGTCCGTTTTGCCGAAACGGAATTCTGTCAAGATATTTATAACAAGTATAAGCGATACAACTGGATTGGTGACATGCTTCTGCTTAGGTAATACAATACCATTATTAAAATAGTCATATCAAGCAAGATACAAGTAAACGCAATGACAAAAGAGTTGTCTGAGGAGGCATTGATTACCCTGAAAACGATGTCGAATTTGTTAAATAAAGAGATTAATAATAATAGCATGGAATTGCTCTTATGTACTCGTTGTGTCATCTGCTTTTATGCCTGCCGATCTCAACAAAAATTTCATGTACTTGCGTCTATGCGTTAAGAGTAACAGAATTTTTTTTACCATAAAATTTGTAATCTTCGCCTTGTTGGCATTAATGAAGAATTAAATAATAAGACTGGTTATTGAAATCGATGCCAAGTTTAACCCTAACTAACCAATGACGGGCGAAAGCGTTTTAACATTTTGCCAACGACGAGTCTTCACAGTTTATATTTAAATAAAACTATTCTAATGCCAGGATAATATAAAATAAGTACATTATTCAATTCGTAGAAACCGATTCTTAGTTGAGTTTGGCCTTATTGTTGTGATTTTGGAATGAGAGCGGCTTATAGTTTTATAGTTATGTGATGCATTAGT